CGCTCCTCCTGAATGCCTTCATCTGTAGTTATACCACAACCCACACGGACGAGCCTGCTAATGAGTGAAGAAGCAGAAGCCTGGCTTCCCGCAGGGAATATATAAATTTTAATAACAGGCTTCCAGAGACATGGCACCTGCCGCCTGTCTCCGCTTTCTAACCAGGACCTGGTGATGGAAACTTCAGCTAGGCCCAGGGGAAGGGTAGAGCCTGCAATCTGCTTTTATGCATATTCCTGGGGTCGCCCTGACTTAATTTAAGACCAAACAACAATCCATCTTCTTTCAGAGACAGAGTAGTGACTTCCCAATAAACACAACTTTGTGAGAGCTAAAGGTACACCCTGTTCCCTGGAATGCCCCTGAGCAGCACTGATTTTCTCAGCTGTAGACACTGCGTCTTCTTTTGCCCAAGCACACGTGGCATTCACCAAAATGGGAACATCCCTCACCTACGCCTGTCTATGGAAAACAAGAGACAGGATGGCATTACGCCAGTTTGGAACCCCTAGGGATCCTGTCCTGTCTTGTCAAGAGCATGGCTCTTGATTTGGGATACATGAACTCTACCAATGAAGAAAAGAGACAGACACAAATTCCCATAAAACAAGGTGGAACGTGCTAAATGGACATAGAAGCAATATGCTGGGGAAACCTATGGGTAGGAAGGTGGAAGAGGGGCTCCTTCTGACTGAAGAGGAGCGGGAGGAAGTCAGGGAAAGTTTCTCGGAATAGATACTATTTAAGTTTCTCTTACAGGATAAGAGGCATTTTAGTGAAGAGAGAAAGGAAGGAATTTGGAGGCAGCCAGGAGGTAACAGGCCAGGGGGCATGCACTCAATGGGCAATGGGAGAACGCCATGAGTGGTGAGCCTGGACAGGCAGGCTGGGGTCACACTGAAGCGTGTCTTGGGTGCTGGCCTGCTTGAGAAAGCCAATTCAAGTGGTATTGTGACAGATGGGTGGGTTAGAGGCAGACAGGTAACTTGGGACACTCTTGTAAAAGCCCAAGGGAATGGTAGTTACACAGGTGAATACACAGGCAAAAGATCCTGAAAGTTGGTGCATTTTACTATATGTAAATAATAACTCAAAAACGTCCTTAAAAAAACAAAGCCCGAGGGAACCAGTGCCAGCTCATCCTAGAGCATGGGCATGGAAATAGTCAAGAGAGGGCAGATATACAAGAAAACCCTTCTCTTTGGGTTCCTGTCCTTACCTCGTAGCTAGGCCCCCCTCCCCAGGGTCCTTCCTCTAAGAGGATTTTTCTGATGCTTGGTGACAATGCAGTGGTACTAGACTCAGAGGATGTTAGTGCTGAAGGGCATTGCAGGAGAGGCGCCTGTTTCATTTTACGTAGAAGGAAACCAAGGACCAGATGGGTCCTAGGATTCCACAACTGGTTTGGGAGTAGACGACCCAGGTTTGCATCCTAGTCCAAATTTCAATTCAAGGTGCTTTTTCTCTACACCACTGCTGCCAACAGCCATCAGGAAATCTGAATGGCTGATAGAATCCTGAAGCTGTTAAAAATCAAATGTTAGGAGATATGCAGCAGCGTGGGTAAATGTCCATGGCATACTGAGTGTTAAAGCAGGTCACCAAACACTATCTATCCCCCTGATTTTGTCGGGGGGAAGTATCTTTACAAGAAAAACCCCACAGGGATGATCACCAAAGTAGTAACAGTGCATCTCTAAGGAGAATTATAGATTATTTTTGTGTGCTTCACTTTATCTGCCATTTCTAAAAAATGAATATGCATTAAATTTTTTATTCAGAAAAAAATGGAGATTTATATCATTATCTAGATTTTCTCATAATTCTGAACTGAGCTTTTAGTCTGCTTGTTTCACTGAAAGCAAACACTTCTTGAGAACAAAAAAATGAATCATTAGGTAAATATTGATCTGTTGCTAAGTGAACAAGAAACATCATCCAATCTAAGCAGAGTTTCCCTCCAGACAGTAAAGGATTTATTTCTAATGCATCTTTGCATAGATCATCTTCAAACAGACTTTAATACTGAAAGGGGGAAAAAAAATCTCTGTTCTCCTAACATGTTTTCAATGTTCACCTTTCAACAACTTTTTCTATACCAGAACATCTGAGGATATGGTCTGATTCCCCACAGAAGTCGTAATAACCGGCTGCTTTCAGTCAGGGTTACTGAGTAATACCATCAGCTTGCTGTAAATCAGTTCACTGAACTTTCTAGCCTAGACAATTATTTGTGAAAGCTGCAGACAGGCAGGAAAAAAATCTTCAAAGTCCCAGGAGAAGCACTTTTACCCATAACGGACATGTTTCCTGCCCTCAGCTTCAAATATATGGGAGGCTGTTACAGAAATGCGACACAGAGAAAGAACATCAAGGACAGCGGCTTCCGATAAGTGATTAAAATAGAAAGAGGGTTACGTGGGAATAGACTGAGGCCAGTCCTGCTAAAGGCTCTCCTCATGGGCTGGCCTGTACTGCTCTCTGCCTCTCCGTCTCACCTGCACCCTGAGAAAAGTCTCTGTCCACCTCCCCATGGGGGAGAAGGGAACTGACTTGAGGCACAAACTGGGGTTCAGTTTTCCTCTCCCTCAAAATGAGAGGGAAAATGAATCCGACCTCAAAGTTGTTAAGAAGATTAAATGGCATAATATCTATGAGAGATAGTCAATAAATTTAAAATGCAGTAACGTGGACAAAAGCGGGTAAGGTGAAAACATTTTGGTGATATGTTACATGAACGCAGGATACAGTTAGTCCTAAAATTAGAATCTAAATAACAAACAAGAGATTAGTTAAAAGATGGAAGGAAAAAAGGGAATCCTTTTGCCCTTTAGTCATTTGTCATGTTCAAGTCAGAGAGCTTGGTTGTTTGGAATTTAGCTACTTAAGTACTGTTCCAATATGCTCTAAGAGGGTTGGTCCTATAATCAAAGGGACGGGTCTTGGAAGGAAACAGTTTCTGGGGAACTTGTCCCTTCACACTCACCTTCAAACCATAGCTAAGTAACTGAGGCTGACCTCTACCCGTCCCTAACTGGAGTTTCACCAGGAGGGAGCATAGCAACTGGTCAGTCACAGGGGTGTGGTGTTGGGATAGGGAGTAGATGGCCACGAGGTCCAAGGAGACTGTGACCAGGAACACACTTCCACACCAGGAGGGTGGGTGGAGGCCATCTCAGTAGAGGTCACGTGGCACCAGGCCAGCGCCATAGGCTCACGGAGAAAGTGCGCCAGAGAGGGAAAAAAGCCAAGAGAAACCATGGTTTTAATGTCTCTGGGTTATGTTTTAAAGGAAAACAAGAAAATAGGTAAAAAAAAAAACCTGCCATAATCAGCTTTTTTGCCCCCACTCTGAACAATCAGTATGGAATCAAACCCTATATTTTTTTGGAGACTAGACAATAGCAGCTTTTCCGTGGCTTCCTCTAATTACTCAGGAACCAATGTTGGGTGGAAATTTGCCCTCATCTGCACATAAACTTACAGAGTTTTTAATACCTTGGTTTTCAAAAGCTCTCTGAAAATGAGATGGCCAAGGAGCCGGGTCTAGCTGGGTCCCACTCAATCTGAAAGTAGGTGCAAATGTAACTGGCCAGTCCAGATTAGAGAATTATCTAAATTAAGTATTGAAGAAAAATGCCAGACAATTTGAAAGGCATACAGATTCTGTGCACCCCCTTCAGGGAGGAGATTTTTCAAACACAGCTTAATAAGAGCACCATGACCTTGTCTAATGCCTGGTTGTGGAGCCTACTGTGACATAAAGTCCACTCAGCAGGGGCAGTCCCAAATTCCATATGATGACGTTTATATTGTACATGGCACTCCACAAGCATTAGGCAACATGATAGAGTTATGTCTTTCTCGACTTGATAGTAACTTATGGATCATGGCATCAGTGTTCCGAAAAAACTGCACATGAACACCCAAAACACCCACAGCCCCCAGCTCTTCACCCTTGGCTAACAGCGTGTAAAAATTAACTAGACAGTCAAACAAGACAAGGCAAGGACCCGAACTCTCCCATGTCTCTGCTGGCCATTTGCTCTTAGGAGAGAATCATTGACCCAGTGTCATCAACCACAACAGAGGGGGTGAGAGATTACATCCAGATAGAGAGCAAAGCTTTTATTGCCGTCCACCGAGTATTAGAGACGCCAGCGAGTGTTGGTCATGCGCGGAGGGAACACAGCGTGAATAAGCAGCTTCTGTCTAATAAGCACACCTGGCAGAATGGAATAAGCTTGAAGAGACACAAACAGAGTGAAGCAGCAACGATGAGGAAGGAGGAAGGAATTCAGACGCAGGAGAAAATGGGATGCTTCAGGCATGAGGCTTGGCCTGAGCCCTGAAGGAAGACACAGTTATTCAGAAGACATCACTAGGGAAAAAGTTAACAATGCACCTCTTGAACACAGTATGTGAGACATGGAATGCAGATTCCCTTTTCCACTATGGTTTCCCCTATCACAAGCAGTGTTCACCCTTGTCACCTCCAAAATACAGACCTGGGGCTCATGCAGGGAAACTTGGTTCACTCAGAATGGAAGCATTCTCTTAGCTAATGTTCAATACATTTTTCAATAAGGCAGATGGAGAATACCCAACTAATAAGTCTGTGCTTTTTTGCTTATTAATTATTTTGGGTAAGGATGGTTTCTCTGTCCTAGAACTGGCAACAAAGCATTTGATAAAGAGCTACAATACTGTCCAAGTTTTCTGTGTCTACCTGAAAATGACTACTGTTTTCTGCAAAGTCCTTGTCATGGATGATGACTCCATACTGTGGAGGAAGGGGTGTTTCCAAGCAACAAAGATCTGATTCTTTCTCCTTACTCCAGGAGTCAACAGCAGACTTCTGTTGAGATTCTGGCTATTTTAACACCAATGACACTATTTTACATGGATGCCCTGAGGACACAATGTCAGAAGGTTCTTCGAACACTGAACAAGCCAAACAGATTAGCAGGCGGCATACAGGGGGTGTGAGGTCTACTCACTCTTTGGTCAGAAGAGGACAGGACTTGAGCAGAAAGCGTGAGAGCCCCGAGTCCTGGAAGTAGAGGTCAGGCGGGGCTGTGGGGCTCTTCAGATTCAAACACCGAACGATCACGTACAGCACGGCGGCCACCGCAGCCAGCTTCACCCCGTCAAACACGGCCGGGAGCTCGGAGGTCTCCAGCATGGCGTTCATCTTGATCTGGGGGGCAGAAGCACAGGTCTAGGTTTAGAAGCACAGTGAGGGTGCGGAGCCCACAAAGAGACAAGGCCAGTGATGAGACGTCACGATCAGATGTGTCCACAGGGCCCACCAAGGCTAATTCCCATCAGGACCTTACAGCTGCCAACCGACTGGCAACAACGCAAATCACAAACACAGTCCTGAGCGCTGATACACGAACACTTCTAAGATAAGCAAATTGGAAAATGGTGAGAATAGCGCCCTTTTGAGAGTGGGAGAAAGAAGTCCAGTCAGAGAGGCATGAGCTGGACTGGAGGTAACACTCCAATTCCTAACAGGTAGCCTTGAAGCTCTTTGTAGATTTAATCCGCAGCTGGTATGCCAGGTGTGTGTAAGAATCACATTTACAGCCTCAGACAGAGACGTGGGATGGACTGCTGTTGCCCCCAGGTGTGGCTGTACTGCCTGGTGGCCCCACCCCTCAATTTCCAGAGCAGGATGAGATAAAGCAACCTGGGCCTGAGCCAGCCATCTGCTCCTCGGAGGCAGCCCTGGTGCTGGTCAGGTTCAGACTCAGCCCAGGTCGTGGTGGTCCTTGCTCCTGGGGGTTTCAGGTAGTGCAAAATGGAGCTTGGCCAATTTTTTTCCCCACTAAAGGTGCTTATTGCCATTAGTCCAAAATTAGGCTGAAAGTGCACCAAATTCAACTCTTAGCCCAAAATCAAAAACTGGAGTATAGAAAGTGTATGCATATCTGGCTTTCCCCAAGCTTGCCTAATATTTTATCTTTTGAGGTAGCATTACCTTATATACAATGCGCAAATATACACACACACACTCCTCCAAACACATAAAACCAAACATCAACAACAACAAAAGCAACAGCAACACGGATCCAGTCTTTCCTTGCTGCTTGGTAGGAAAACAGAACATCAGCTGTTACCTTAAAAATCAGGAAACCACAAGCTAACAAAAAGGAGAAAATGGTAACTCTCAGAGCCAAGGTAGCTATGGCAACAGCCTCCCCTGGAATGGTTTCAAGTAGCCTCTGCTAAAAACAGTCAGCACGAGAGCTCTGGTGGCCAACAGTGAAGCGCAGACAGAAAAGGGAGGACAAAACAACCTCCCAGAACTGTGTTTGGGGCATAACCGAATGAACTCTCTTGAGACCCACAGCAAGGCCAGAGGGGACTCAGAGACCCTTTTCTAAAGTCAAGGTGACTTTAGCAAATACAGAACCCAAACAAGCTGAGACGACTTTGCACAGGGGCTCCCAGCTCTGTGGGGAAAGGCAACCAGAGATCACAGCGCTGTAACCAGCCTTCCACCAGCAGGGCAAGAAAATAACATTTACAAGTGTATCCAACACAATTTAGAATCAAGGCTAAACCTCAGAATATACTTGCAGCTGCATCAACCTTTGAACTTTTACGAGCTGACAGTTTCCTGAAAACTTAACTTCTGGGGACATGTCACCTCACTCCTGGGGCCATTTGCCCTACAGGCTGGCTATTTATAAACCCCTAAAACAGGATTCTTAACTTGGGGTCTGTGGGTCCCCTATGGGATCCTAGGGTCCAGGAACCCCCGAAATGTATGTGAAAGTTTGTGTGTATGTACAGTTTTCTAGGGAGAGCACCTGCAGATTTAATCAGATTCTCTAAGGCGTCTGTGGCCTAAAAAATTATACAGCACCACACTCAACGATGCTCCACGGGATAACCTGCAGCTCTGGTCCCTCGTCACATCAGAGCCCTGCCACTTATGCTGGTCAAACCGACAAGAAACAAATATCCAGAATGATGCAGCTCGTTAATATGGATTTTTAACTCTAGTGAATGAAGGGCCGAAAACAAGATCCCGCTGGAATTCCAAAGTTTCTCTGACATGACATTGGTGATACGGAACAGAAACAGACACTCGTCCCCTTTGTTGGAAAGAGAACAGAGGAATGCAGCAGGTGGCTTGACCAGTTTCCTTGTTCGTCTAGAGTAGACTTACTGAATTAAAAAAAATAAAATAAATCCTTCCCTCCCCACTCCCACTCACTACGTACTACCATAAGGGGAGGTGGGGAGGGGAAGCAAAAACAAGAGTCAGGCAATACATACCTATATCCCTGTTCCTCTCTACTGCGAATGTTAAGCGTCCTTGAAGAGTTGTACAGCTGGGCCCGTCAGGTCAGATCTCTTATTCAATTAACCTAAAAGCTGAAAAGATTGGATGGTGATGTTTTAAAGGATGAGAAAGAAGCAATTTAATTGAAATATAAGCACAGTCTAAGTTTCTCTGCATTTCAAGTCTTTAGGGAAAAAGGTAATTTCTTTAATTAACATGTGTGCCACACTCGGCTGTTTGAACAAACCTGCCAGGGGAAGCCCTTGTGAATCCAGACTGACAGGCCCCCTCTGGTTTCCAGGACAAGTTATCTGCCGTGTTTAGAGTTCTGGCTATAGCAAACGCCCACTGCTTTTCCCCTTTACTTCGTAATGTCATCTTGAGAAACGCCTGACAGGTATCATCTCTGTGTGACCAGTGCAAGAGCTTAGCAAGGCTTTAGGTCAAAACAGTGATCAGTTGACTCATTCCTTCTCTTCCAAATGTACAGCAATGACAGAAACAATATGAGCTGAGAAAAGTATAAGGACACAGATGGGCTCAAAAACATGGTGCCAGAAACACCAGAACTGAAAATAATGGGTGGGGACCTACGTTGCCTGTCAGGTCTGGGTCCAGACTGGGGGCTGGAGGCTGGCTGCAGGGGGCACCAGGAGCTAACAATGCTCACTGTGAGACAGGGAACCAGAGCCAGGCCAACTGTGCTAGAGATCTCTGGCTTCTAAAGCAGCAGAGGAAACAAAAAGGAGAAGGGGTGGAGGAGAGACAGCCAGTGTTTACACAGCGCTGCGTGCCAGGCTCTGTTCTTCATACTTTAGATGCACTACAGCGTTTAATCCTTACCATGCCCTATGAGGCAGGTGCTATTATCCCCATTTTACAGATGAGGAAATTAAGGCATAGAAAACGTGAGTGGCTGGCCCAAGGTGACACAGCTAGTAGTAGAGAAACCAGGACTCATATCTGGCTCCAGAGACCCGCCTCTTGGCCACCATGCTCTGCCACTTGAAAGCAGAGACAGTAGAGAAAGAGAGAGAAGCAAGCAAGAAAATGGATGGTACAGAAAACACAAATGAGAAACCAGAGGCTTACCCAAAGTGACACAGTCTCCTGTAAAACAGGAGAGTGGGGATTCAAGCCCCGTTCTCTCTGATTCCACCACACCAAAATGATTTAAAAAGAAAATGAAAGCCAGCTGAAGGGAGACTCAACCTTCAGAGTAGTCTTGTTCCACCTCAAATCCTTCTTATCTCTTCATATTCTAAGACAAATTAGCCACAGAGGACCAGGCTTTGTTGAGGTGGACACTAAAGAGCAAAGTCTCCAGCCACATCACAGGCCACTTGACCTCTCCAGGGCTTGGCTGCCAACTGAAAAACAGGCTGGACCAGATCAAAGATCCTAAACGGGCAGCTCACGGGATGACATTGCATTTGGCTGGCATTTTTTAAAAATTATTTTATTGAGATCACATTGGTTTATAACATTGTGTCAATTTCAGGTATACATCATTATATTTCAGGTTCTGTATAGAATTGGCATTTTTAAAAACTGAATTTATTAGCTGCCAAGTTATAAACACCAGGAGATTTCAGATAAAAATCTGGATTTCTGATTTCTCTTGAAAAAAAGAATCAGAAGATTGGCAACCTGAAGCCAGCCAGCATTCTCACATGGCAACAATGAACAGAGCTGAACAGCTGCTGCCCCCGTCAGCCAGGGCATGCTCTCTCCAGGATGCCACAGTCCCCACCTCTCCCTATCATTGTCTTCAACACTGACCCCTAGCCTACTTACTCATTTATGGTACCTGAGTGGTCCCTGTAGGCATCTGAATACGCAACCCTTAAAGAAACATGTGTAAGATCCCTTCTAGCCCTGGATAAGTCCATATGAACTGAATATTCAAAACATATACTTTCAGTATATGTATAAATGATGAATTCATACAAAAAATTATGGAAAGGCAGAGTGGCAAATAACAAGACGTAGTACTGTTTTCTTTATTGTTATTTACGTTGATGTTTATTTACACCTTGACTCTTTCTACAAACTATTTGAGATAGCTTCAATAAAACACTGAATAGAGAAAGATTCAGAAACATGGCAGACTGCTGATTGCTTCCGAATAAGTCTCTTCCTCTTACTTATAACAGAAACCTGGAAAATGTGCCTAGCTGGAAAAAACTACAGATCCCAGCTGCCTGTGCGGGTAGGCGAGTCCATGTGACTAAATTCTGGCCATTTCTGGAAGCGCTGGTCTGATTTCTGTGAAGGCTCCTTAAAAGGCAGGGAGTTAACTCTTCTTCTGCCCTTTTTCCTTCCTGCATCCCTGGAATGAAGACAACATGGCTGCAACTCCAACAGCCATCTTGGGCCATGAAGTGACCTTGAGGTCATTCTAGGAGCCCTATTAAGAGGACAGCAGAGATGCTCAACACCACTAATCATCGGGGAAATGCAAATCAAAACCACAATGAGATATCACCTCACACCTATCAGAATGGCTATTATCAAAAAGACAAGAAATTACAAGTGTTGGCAAGGATGTGGAGAAAAGGGAACCCTAATACACTATTGGTGGAAATGTAAACTGGTGCAGCCACTATGGAAAACAGTATGGAGATTTCTCAAAAAATTAACAATAAAACTACCCTATGATCTAGCAATTCCACTTCTGGGTATATATACGAAGAAAATGAAAACACTAATTTGAAAAGATATATGCACCCCTATGTTCATTGCAGTATTATTCACAACAGCCAAGATATTGAAGCCACTTAAGCGTCCATCAATAGATGAATGGATAAAGAAGATGTGGTACATATACAATGGAATATTACTCAGCCATAAAACAGAATGAAATCTTACCATTTGTGACAACATGGATGGACCTAGAGGGTATTATGCTAAGTGAAATAAGTCAGACAGAGAAAGACAAATACCATATGATTTCACTTATATGTGGAATCTAAAAAACAAAACAAACGAGCAAACAAAACAAAACAGAAACAGACTCATAGATACAGAGATAAACTGGTCATTGTCAGAGGGGAGGGGAAGGGAGTTTGCTACGGGAGAAATAGGTGAAGGGGATTAAGAGGTACAAACTCCCAGTCATAAAATAAATAAGTCATGAGGATGTATTGTACAGCATAGGGAATATAGTCAACAATACTGTAATAACTTTGTATGCTGACAGATGGTAACTAGACTTATCACGGTGATCATTTCGAAATGGATAAAAATATTGAATCCTTATGTTGTATACCTAAAACTAATAATATTGTATGTCAATTATACTTCAATTAAAAAAAAATTAAAAACAAAAGAAGACAGCCGAGTAGAGAGACAGAAGCCTGGGGTCCCTGATGATTTCATGGAGCCACCATATCATACCTAGACCACCTATCTCAGGATTTGTTTTACGTGAGACAATAAACCTGTGCATGTTTAAGCCACTGTTCTTTCTAGACTCTTTTAGTCTGCAATTTCTAATGACATAGAAGGAAATATTATCGACCCAAATCTTTACGGATGCTACAATCACTGGGTTGAGTATACACAATTCTTCTTTTTTCTTTTCTAAAACTCATAATGATAATAAACTTTTTTATTAGAAAAAAACCTTTAAAATAGCAACTAACAAAATCTAAGAAGAAATTAAGAAACTCTATACAAGGAAAATACCTATGTCAACATCCACAACAATTATGTATGTGATTAAGCCTAGAATGTATCTTAGCTTTCTGACTGCCGGGGGGAAAAGGGAGACCCAGTCAGACCCCTGGTTCCCCAAAATGGAAAGAGAGCACACATGTATTCTGCCCTTATCCCAGGAAGCATGACTGATACTCAGGGAACAGGGCTTCTCTGGCACAGACTCATAAAAAAAAACCTCTGCAAGACTTTACATAAGGGGACCTTGAGTGATGTGATAGGCAATGTCCTCCCACCACTTTTTTTTAATAGCAAATGCAGTAGAGAATTAATTTTGTTAACCTCGAAAAAAAGGCCAAGGGTTTAAAGTCAAATTCAATTCACTGCAGGCACTCCTATGAGAGGACTGTAACTATTATGGTCCAAAGATGCAGCCTTGATCCAACTTGAACCTGAAGTCTTGAGGAGCAGGAAAGTTCTACTGCATGTCCCTAGGGCCACCTCCTTTGCTCTTCAGTGGCCTAAGGACCATCATGATGACCTACTGTGTGCCCGGCGCTATGCTAAGCATTGTGTAGGACAGCAACTAAGTAGAATTCTCACTTTAACTAGAGAAAAAGAAATTTATGTTAAGGCTATCTATACTTTAGAAACTTGGAGACAGAATAATTAGTCCAAGAAAAAATTAACTGGGGAAAGACTTATAGAGCAGCCAGATTTGGGCCTCAGTGAAGTACAGGATTTAGAAGAAGTGTGTGTAAGTGTGCGTGTGTGTATACAGTATGCATGTATTACATGTATGTATATATAAATACATACTAAATATGCACATATAAATACATATGTGTGCATATATATATGTATTAAACCAGGAATTAACTGGACATTTTAGAACAAAACTCTTGACATTCTTTTTTTTTTTCTTTTGTGAGAAAGATTAGCCCTGAGCTAACATCCACGCCAATCCTCCTCTTTTTGCTGAGGAAGACTGACCCTGAGCTAACATCTATTGCCAATCCTCCTCCTTTTTTTCCCCTTTTCTCCCCAAAGCCCCAGTAGATAGCTGTACGTCACAGTTGCACATCCCTCTAGTTGCTGTATGTTGGACGCCGCCTCAGGATGGCCCGACAAGCGGTGCGTCAGTGCGCGCCTGGAAGGGAACCTGGGCCGCCAGCAGTGGAGCGCTCACTTAACCGCTAAGCCACGGGGCCGGTGCCCCTTGACATTCATTTTAACTTATCTTGCTGCATTTTATTTTACAGTGTTCTTTCTCTCTTTCCAAGTTTGACCTGCCACTAAATACTAATATTCTGAACTTGTTCCAGACATAACAAACTTAGCTTTCACTGTACTCTTTTGTGTGTCCCCTCTCCCTTTTCTAGGCAGGTGAAATCCAGTTCAAATGAACATCAGGCATTCCCCTAGATGGGGA